TATAGCCCTGTTTATTTTTTTTTGCATTTTAACATCTGAGAGGTTTACTACATTCCTGTCCCCATATTCCCCCCTTTATGAAACTTTTGAGGGATGCTTTTTCTGCATCTATTGAAAGAATCATATGGATCTTTGTTTTTACTTCTATTTATGTGGTGAATTACGTTTACGGATTAGTTTATGTTGAACCTTCCCTACATTCCTGGGATGAAGCCCACTTGGTTGTAATGGATTTTTTTTTTTTTTTTTGATGAGCAGGTGCATTCAAAGTACTGGGATTTTGTCAAGAATTTTTGCATCTATATTCATAAGGGATATTGGTCGGTAGTTTTCTTTTTTGTTGAGTCCTTTCCTGCTTTGGTATCAGGGTGATATTGGCTTCATGGGGGAGGATTCCTTCCTTCTAGATGTTGTGGAATAATTTCAGCATGATAGGCACCAGTTCTTTGTAGGTCTGATAGAATTCAGGTGTGAAACCATCTGGTCTGGGACTTTTTTTTTTTTGGAAAGCTTTTTATTACTGCTTCAATTTCAGTGTCTTATGTTAATCTGTTCAGGAATTCTATTTCTTCCTGATGCAGCGTCGGGGGCCTGTATTTCTAAGAATTTGTCCATTTCCTCCACATTTTTAAGTTTATATGTATAACAACGAGTAAGATGTGCAACGTTTGGGGGATGGACATGCTTGAAGTTCTTACTCCAGGAGGGACAGAGACATGGGCAATATAAGTAACCTTAACACTTGACCCACATAATACTCTAAAATAAAAAAAAAAAAGTTTATATGTATAGAGATCTTTGAGACGATATTTTGTATTTCTGTGATATCAGTTGTAATTTCTCCTTTTTCATTCCTGATTGAGTTTATTAGAGTCCTTTCTTTTTCTGCTTCTGATTACTCCAGTGAGAGGCATGTCAATTTTGTTTATATTTTCAAAGAAGCAACTTTTTGTTTCATTAATCTTCTGTATAGTTCGTTTGTTATTTATTTCATTTAGTTCTGCTCTAATCTTGGTTATTTATTTTCTTCTGCTGGATTTGAGGTTGATTTTCTCTTCCTTTTCCAATTCTTTGAGTCATTTCATTAGATTGTTGATTTGTGATCTTTCTGTCTTTTGGATGTAGGCATTCATGGCTATGAATTTTTCTTTCAGGACTGTTCTTCCTGTGTCCCACAGATTTGGATAACTTGTGCCACCTTTATCATTAAGTTCAAAGAATCTTTTGATTTCCATCTTAATTTTCTCCTTGACCTGAGTATCATTCAGCTATAGGTTGTTTGGTTTCCATTACTCTGTGTAGAGATGAGAGTTTCTATTGGAGTTGATTTCTAATTTTATTCCACTGTGGTTTGAGAAGATGTATGGAATTATTTCTTTTTTAAAAAACTTGTTGAGACATGTTTTGGGGCTTAGAATGTGGTCAATCTTAAAGAATGTACCATGAGCTGATGAGAAAAATGTATATTCAGTGGTTTGGGGGTAGAATGTTCAGTAAATTCCATTAGGCCCATTTGTTCTAGAGTTCTGTTTAAATCCATTGTTTGTTTGTTTATTTTCTGTTTGGAAGATCTGTCCTGTTCTGTCAAAAGGATGTTGAAATCCCTGGCTATTATGGTGCTGCTGTTTATCATTTTGTTTAGATAAAGAATGGGTGAAAATATTTGAATGCTACACATCCAGTAAAGGACTGATGACTAGGATCTGTACAGAGCTCAGGAAAATTAACAAGAAAAAAATCAAACAACCCTATTAAAATGTGGGCAAAGAAGGTGAACAGAAACTTTTCAAAATAAGACAATGGCCAAGAAACATGAAAAATTGCTCAACATCAGGGAAATGCAAATCAAAACCACAATGATATATCACTTAACTCCAGTGTGATATCACTTAACTTTATCAAAAAGTCCCAAAACAACAAATGTTGGTGAATATGGAGAGATAGGAACACTCATACACTGCTGGTGGGACTGCAAATTAGTACAATCTCTATGGAAAGTAATATAGAGATACTTCAAAGAACTAAAAGTAGAACTGCTGTTTGATACAGCAATCCCATTACTGGGTATTTACCCAAAGAAAAAAAAAGACATTCCATAATAAAGACAACTGCACTCAAATGTTCAGAGCAGCACAATTCACAATTGCAAAGACTTGGAATCAACCCAAGTGCCCATCAATACATAGGTAGATTAATAAAATGTGGTGTATGTATGCCATGGAGTACTACTCGGCTATGAAAAACAATGGTGAACTAATACGTCTTGTATTATCCTGGATAGAGCTGCAGCCCATTCTATTAAGTGAAGTATCACAAGAATGGAAAAACAAACACCACATGTACTCTTCATTAAATTGGCACTAATTGATCAACACTTATGTGAGTACATGGAAGTAACATTCAACGGGTGTTAGGCAGGTAGGAAGAGGGAATAGGAAATGGCTAAATTCACACCTAATGGGTACAGTGCACACTTTCTGGGAGATGGGCATGCTTGTAGTTCTGACTTGAGTGGTGCAAAGGTAATATATGTAATCAAAATGTTTGTACCCCTTTAATATTCTGAAATTAAAAAAAAAAATCAGGAAAGAAAAAGAAAACAGAATAAAATAAGAAAAGAATAAAATTAAAACACTTTCAGAGAAGGCATTCTTGCTAGAATTATATTGTTGAGTTACCAAAAATACTTAAAATTAAGTAGTTAGGAAGAACTGACACCTTTACAATATTTGTTTCATCTTTCTATTTAGGCACATATTTTTGTATTCATTCATTCAATCTTATTCTTTTAAATGTATCATAAAATTTCTTCTATAAAGTTTCTCAGTAAAATATTTCTGAGATAAATTATTTTTTAAGCTTGAGAATTGAATCATTTATGAATGAAAATATTTGGTAGTATTTTGGAAATTACTAGTTTCATATTATTATTTATATTTGTCAAATTTTCTCATTGTTAGCAATCTTTTCATTTAAATTTTTATGTTTTTTTGATCTACAAATTGCAAAATAATTAGAATGATGTGTGGTTTCCAGGCATATGATCATGAGGAAGATATTCTAAATAGAGGCTATTAGAAAAAAATACAGAGGTATAAAGCAGCCTGTTCAGGAAACACATGTAGTTCAGTAAAGCTGAAATAAAGTATTTCAGGGTAGGAAAAATGGTTAAGGGTAGGAAGACATACAAAATGGACACTTGCTGTGATGATATAATTAAAAGATATGCTAAGGGTTTTGAACTTGATCGTTAGGCAGTAAGAGACTACAGGCTATGAGACATTTTATAACCAGACAGACTCTTTAGGAAGATCATTATAGCTACAGCATGGTAAAATGAGAGAAAAGAATGGTAAATAATGAGATTCGTTTGGAAGGAAATGCCAGTGTGAGAGGTGACAGTGAAGGCCCAGAATGAGATAGCAGCAGTGGTAATGTAGAGGCAAAGAATGCATAATAAGTCAAAGCCTAATTAGAACTGTCGGGACTTAGTCCTCTATCACAGATAAAGAAAAAAGGTAAGATAGGTCATTTCTGTCACAAGTTACAGTACATTAGTCAAAGATTCCTTGAAACAAAATGGTAAATACTAATGGTTTAAAATAGGAAAACTTATTCTCCTCCTATTTTAACCAGAAAGAATATTGTCCAACAAATTAAGAAAATATATATTAAAAAGTGCTTTGTTTTTATGTAGGATAGATTTTTTGTGTTTTTCATTTCACCTTTTCTGGAATCTGCTATTCTTTACATGTGTTTTCCATGATTTTACTCATTAATGTGATGAATTATATAGAGGAATTCCTGAACAATGAGTAATTCTTTTAATCCTAGGATATATATATATATATATTTCTGTGTCTCTATTATTTGTGTTCACAACTTTTAACATTTACACATATTTTTCATTAATGTGTTTGTTCTATAGGATTTTTTGCTGATTTTTTTTCTGTATCATTAATCAGAATTATATTTGTCCTTTTATATAGCTTTCCAACTTTTTGTATACTTTAGAAATATATGAAGAATGATCTGTTTCTTAAATTTGGGAAAACACTAATGAAATCCTATAATGTTTAGGATGTGGGTAGGATTATAATTTTTTAATAATTTTCAGTTTCTTCCTCAATTATAACAATTCTTTATTTGTGTACATATTGTGATTTTTCCCTCAAATACCAATTTCATCAAGATTTAAAATTACTTATAGAATTTTCTACTGTAATTTTTAAAATATTTCAAATCTAGTGATAAATATGATTTCTAAACTTTATCTTCCATGGTTATATTTTCCAGAGGTTGTTCTATTTTGAGAGCTTGTTAAAGGATTAGTTATTAGATTATTTTCACCTTTTTCTATTCACACCAATCACATTAATTTAGTACTTTTGTTTTAACTAATAATGATTTTATAACATATTTTATACCTTTATAATGTCTTAAATTGAATACTTAATTTCTTAACTTTCTCTGTTATAAATATATTTCTTTACATTTCTTTCATTTTAAATGCCAGCCAAGTGGACGGTATGTATTATTTCAAATAAAGGTTGGCATACATAGCTATTGTGTGTCTACGTGTGTATCATTTTAGCTAAAATCTCTTTGACATAATATTTGTGAAAAGAATCCCTTCCCCATTATAACAGTGTTTCCATGGTAATAAGTAATTTCCTTTATGACGATTCGCTTTAAACAAGAGTAATGCCAACATATGACATAAGAGACTTATTGTGAGGATGTTTGTTTCTAGACTGAAAAAGAAGAAAATTGAGCAAATACTTAAATTACAGTCCAGTTTGCCTTGGCAAGACATGTTAGCTTGAGTCTTAACTATTGCCAAGCTGTCATCCAACATCTGATGGCAGGAATCCTAACAGTAGGTCAGTGCCCAAAAGAATAGTAAAAACACCTTTCTTGTCAAAGTAGGTCTTGAAAACTTAAATTTATGGAGTAAAGATGGATATTCTCTAAATGTTGGCTTTTAACATGTATCCTGTTCAAAACTTGGTTCCCAGCAGTATTTTGTGAAGTCTCCGACGGATCTCCTTGGTTTTAATGGAATAGATGATAGGATTGAGCGTTGGAGGCACAAAGAGATAGATGAGGGACATGAGCGTATGTACATACCGTGGGGCATGTCTTCCATAGCGAGCAGCCATGGACACACCAACCATGGGCACATAAAAGATGAGCACAGCACAGATGTGTGACACACACGTGTTAAGTGTCTTTAACCGTTCTTCCCGGGAGGCAATGGCAAGTACAGAGCGAAGTATGAGCACGTAGGAGATGAGAATGAGTGCAGAATCCAGGCCAAAGGTGGAGATGACAATGAATAGACCAAAGATATTATTTATGGTGATGTCACCACAGGGCAGGCGGATAAGATCTGGATGCAGGCAGTAGGCATGGGAGAGTATGTTGGCCTTGCAGAAGGGTAACCTCTTCAGAAGGAAAGGCAGTGGAAAAACCATACAGAAACTGCGGATGATAACGGACATGCCCATACACATCACACGGGCATCAGTGAGCACTGTGGTGTAGCGCAGCGGGTTACAGATGGCCACATAGCGGTCAAAGCTCATGACCAGCAGGATCCCAGACTCCACGAAGGAGAAGAGATGGATAAAGAACATTTGGGCCATGCAAGAATCAAAACTTATCTCCCTTAAGTAGAAGCAAAACGTGGCCAGGACTGTGGGCAGTGTGGAGAAAGACACACCTACATCATTAACTGATAGCAGGGACAAAAAGTAGTACATAGGTTGGTGCAAGCTCTGTTCCTTCTTGATAACAAAAAGGATAAGAGCATTTCCCACAATGGAGACAATGTAGAAGGCACCAAGGAGCAAAAACATCCAGTGTTGGGAGGTCTCCAGCTCTGGGAGTCCTGTCAAGGTGAAGGGAGGCAACCCTGAGCTATTGTGCGGGTTACCTCCCATGCTGGGACTCTGGATTAGATTCTAGGGCCACTGTCCTGTAAATGAACACAAACATAAAGTTTTATGCACGGCCTCTGCTTAATATTTTAAGACTCTCACATACTATCCAGATCCTCACTTTATAGCATTAATCAATTTTCTTCACTAAACCTCTCATTCTTGCCTTTCATTGTTACCAAGATTTCTGAAATGGTCTGTGTTGTCTCAGTTCACCTGGCTGGCAACTCAGGTCCCTTTGTCCTCCTTTACACCTGTGTCTTTTGTCACCATGCTCTTTATCACATTAAAGGCTATTAATTATTTTCTTCATCAACCTATGAGTATCATTTTGTTCAAGACCTAAGACAAAACTCTTCTGACCAATACTTCCTCATTTATTATGCCCTCTTCCTGAGCAAACCACTTAATCCTGAACCATACTCTCTTCTTGTTTCCACTCTTCCATGTTACTAAACATCAACTGCTCCCAGTTTCCTTGCTCCTATATAGTTTCTAAGTTCTTTCATCCATTCATCTTGACAGAAGATAAATGGACAGTAAAATATCCGTTCATAAGGATAACCTATCAGATGTTCATCTAGGTACATTAGAATGTCATATTTCCAACCACTTTTTCATTCTTCTATCCATTTAGCTTAAGTCATCATTTTTGCCCTGAATAATTTAATTTACTGAAAGTAATTTCTTAATATTTTTTTCAGAATCAAATGGCACCTATCTCCTGAAAGCTATAAGATTAATAATAATTTTTCTATGCCACAGAATTGCCTCTCATCCATGTTCTATATCTCTTTGAATAAAATCATCTTTATGCCCAAGATTGAGACCCAAAATACAAACATCATTTTAACTACTTCTATTCCTTCATCTACTACATTAAGTCAGGTAACAGCCAATGAAAATACCAGCCCCAAAGTGCCTCTGTCAGCACCTTTTGCCAATTCATTCCACCTGCAGCATTCTACACGTTAGACATATCACATTAGTATACCATAATAACAGACTTCTAATAAATATCTTGCCGTTCACTCTTCATCTCTAATATGAGGTAGAACTAATATTGTTAAAGGCAAATCTAAAAATGTACTTTTCTTATTAGAATCCTTACATAGTCCTTTATTTCAATTGATCAAACCCAAATTTATTAGTCTAGAATTAAAGGCTCTCTATGGTTAATACTAAATTAATATTTCTAATCTCAATTCTCAAAATTCTCTTTCTTATACCCCAAGACCCGCAGATAAGTCTACTTTCTACAATCCAAACTTGACCTGCAGCTCTCCAGCTCCCCGAGGTTGCCCCTGATTGTATGAACATAATATTCAATCCATCTTCCAGGGCTGAAGTCCAAGGATCCCACCCCCCCCCAGGGATATTCAGCTGGTCGTTGCCAGCAGAGGTATTTTCCCTCACTCCTCACAGATCTAGGGCATCTCCTTTTGTGTCCATTTCTCTTATCTTTTCTACTGTATAACAAACTCTTAAAAACTCAGCTCTGACTCTTATTTACATTTTCAGTCCCTGCTATACTTTGTTTAGTGCAAGAGTTTGACCAAGAGAGGTACTCAATAAGTCATTCACCCTTTCTAGGTTTTTGTTTCTTTGTTGTAAATTGGTGTCGCTAAGAAACTTACCTAATGGGGTTGTGATAAGCCAAAAACAAACAGTGGTAAACACCTTAGGACCAAAGATTTTGCAACTCCAAAGTTTGTTTTGTTGAGACAGAATCTCACTCTATTGCCTGGGCTAGAATGCAGTGCATCATCATGGCTCACAGCAAACTCAAACTCCTAGGCTCAAGGGACCCTCCTGCCTCCGCCTCCTGAGTAGCTGGGACTGCAAGAATGGGGTCTTACTGTTGCTCAGGCTGATCTCAAGCTCCTGACCTCAAGTGAACTTCCCACCTCGGCCTCCCCAAATGCTAGGATTACAGGTGTGATCCACCGTACCCAGCTGCAACTCTGATTTCAAAAGCCTGCTCTACCTTACCTCCAGCCTTTGAGAGGTGCTCCTCCTTCAGCACTAGGACTCCTCTAGTCTTCCTTCTCAGGATGCAATTTTTTCTTCATTCATTATTCTTAGGACCCCTTTGTTTTCCCTACATGGAAACTCTTCCTATGCACTTTCATTTGTCTCTGTATGCAAAATACAGACACCTTTGGTTGGGAGTCTTTTAACACTAAGTAGGGTCCTTCCAAGTGGCTTTCAAAACAACCAGCGTCTTTTGATACACCCCCTGATTCCAGATTTTTTTTAAAGAGGTATGTAAATGGTTATTCACAGCATGGCATCTACATCCAAAGAATAGCCTGATGGTGTATTCCTTTTAAGAAGGTAATGTGTGAAGCAGAAGCATCATGGAATTTCAGAAACCAAAAGCAACAGATGGAACATATAGTACTGGAAAGGAGATGGCAGTAAAAGCATGCAGGGAAAAAAAAATTGACTCAGATTAAAGACAGCTTTTCCTCCTCTTGTTGCCATACTATAAAACTCAGGAATGTCTTAACTAGGAAAATAGTACTTTAGGGCCCGAATTTGGAGCACCTGACACTCCAACTTGCCTACCTGAGAGAGTTCTGTGTGTGGAAGGTGCAGAGGAAGGAAGAGCGGTACTGGGGGCTCTGCACACCCTGTCCATGCTCCCCAGCTACCTCTTCCAGCTCCCTGGCCTGAAAAATATATAGCTGCATCCAGGAATTCCCTTAAGCTGTTATCAGGTGCTCATGGACTTCTGGGAATATGGGGCGTCTCCAGTGTTACACACCTCCCTGACTTAGCATTTCATTGATCCTAAGACATATGCCAGAGTAGGAATGATCAGAACTCACAGAGACCTGCAAGAACATTGTTTAATATCTAGGCCCTGATTTTATAGAAGTAATTAGAGCCTAGATAAAAAGAGATACCTCAAATGTATACAGCTTATTAGTGGCAGAATGATACTTAAACCTAGGTCTTCTAGGTTTAACTCAGCTTATGGCCTTTCCACTATACAACTGGGATCAATATCCATAAGAAATGCTAGATTTTATAAAGAGTGCTTAAGCCCCTTGTAAGTTAATTTCAGCATCTGAATTTATTAGGACATGTGAGATTCTTACTTGGGTCATCCATGAAATTGGCCCCAAGCATGATAAGAAGCACTGGTTCACTGTAGCTGACCACATACATACTGCAATTACAGATAAAATTATAGAATATATTTCTCCTGATCAAGAAGGTGTTGAGTACATTGCACTGTGCTGCCTTCTTGATAAATGTTTATTGAATATCTGCTAGGGAGACAACAAAAGTAATAGGGATTAGTTGATAAAGTTGAAGTTATATGGACCTGAGTTTGAGTCCAGGTTCCATCACTTGCCTTGAGAAAGTTTCTAACCTACATATAGCTTAATTTTTTCACCTATTAAATAGATAGTAATCATCCTTATGTCACAGAATAATCGGGATGATTAAATGAGATAATGCATGAAAACCATGTAGCCTATTGGCTGCTGTTTATATACAGCACCCAATGAATGTTAGTGGTTATGTTTGAGTCCCAAACATCAAGTCCTGAAAACAAAACAATTGGCAGTAGATATTGACCTAAGTGTACAGCATAATAAGAGTAAATACTTAGAATAGCTTGAATAACTTATTTCTAGGAAAACACTAGCAGGTACATCTGGAAGGAATAGCTCTTTCTTACTAACAAGAGATTCACACTGAAACTAGGTCAGGGAGGACAGTTAGGAAGTTGGCTTTAAAAAGAATCTCTTGCATACTTAATATTTGTCTGACACTAACCATAATGAAAATATAGTCACTTTTCAAGGATTCTACTCACAGATAAATCAGACCAAAGGATTCAGTGTGTCACCTAATAAACTATATCTTCTCTCAGACACACTGATTCTCATGGGAAAATGTAAGCAAATCAGCTGAGCCCTGATCAATACACATAAAGTTTTCATAATTCTGTGTTCATTGTTCCTTTCTCTTTAAATTCTCCCATATGAAAAAACAAAATGTCTGTTTATAACACGGCCACAATCCCTACCCTAAAGGTCTATGCTATAAGGTGTATGTTAACACGAGTGAGTATAATTGAGACATTCATTCAATCTTAGACATAATTTCAGTCATTGAAAGATATAGATGAGTAAGTATACAAATTCATATTCTAGTTTGGGAAACTCCTAAGGAAACAACATTTCAATGAATGCAGAGATAGGAGATACAGGTCTCATTTTAGGGGAGAATAAAAGCGGGGGAATTTACATATTCTAGGACAGTCTGAGAAGATTTCCAGATGTGTGTGATAGCTCTCAAAGAATGACTCTCCAAGAATGAGCAAATATTATTGAGGTGAGTATGGTAGATAGAATGCCTCTCAAAAGATGTCCATGCTTAGAACCTATGAATATGTTATGTTTTATGGCAAAAGTAACTTTGTTAATGCAATTGAGATTATGGACCTTAAGATAGGGTTTTTTGTGTTTTTTTTTTTCTTTTGAATACTCCAGGTAAAACTAATCACATGAGTCCTTAAAAGCACAGAACTTTCTCAGGCTGGAGATAGAAAGATGCAGCAGATGAGAGAACAAAGCATGAGAGGCACTCAAATTGCTTGAAGAAGTCAAATAAAAAGCATGAGAAATAATGTGGGCAGCTTTAGTAATGTAGTTAAGAGTAAAAACCAACCATGAGCTAAAACTCAGCAAGGGAATGGAAACCTCAGATCTACAACCACAGAGAATGGGAACCTCCCTATAAACACAGAGAACTGAAATGAACCAATAACCTAGATAAGCTTCAAAATCAATTCTTCCCCAAAGCCTTCAAGAAGGAATGCATCCCTGCTAACACCTTGATTTCAGCCTTAAGAGACCTTAAGCATTTAGGGTTACTGAATTTTTTACCTACAAAACTATAATATAAGAGATTTCTGTTGTGTTAAGTTGCTAAATGTGTGGTAATTTCTTATGGCAGTGATAGAAGCTAATACAATGAGC